CTTTTCCAATCCTGACACTTATTTCTTTATCAATCTTGCCATCTGATGTAATTTTGGCACCCAAATAAGTGAATTGAGTGACCTGCTTTGCAGAGTTTCCATCGACAGTTATATCTATGGTCCTATTCTCTGGGAGTGGGTGCTGCGATGTATCTTTCCCAATGACCATGATCTCTGTTTTCTTTGCGTTCATCTTTAAACCCCCAAGTCCACAGTATTTCGCAATATTGTCCGTAGTTTCTTGCAGTCCTTCAACAGTGTCATCCATTCCTGCGATGTCATCAGCATAGTCAAGATCAATGACACATTTTTCCGGTTGTCTGTCTACATATTATCTGTAAGTTATAGCTTTATATCTGTTTAAATGTGGATACTAAGGCGAAAAAACCACAAAAAATGAACTAAATTGCCCATATCTCGGTTCGCGATATTTGCGGAATTGATCTCATTAAAATTGTAACAACTCAATCAGTTTTCAAAATGTTTGCATGAAATTTTCGAAATCGACTCGAAATCGCATTTCCACCTTATTTTAAATACGGATTTTTGATTTAGGCCTCCAAAAAAATTTGGCGGCCAAATTCTGAATTTTTGTGAGATAATTTTGGAATTTGGCCGCCAAATTTTTTTGGAGGCCTAAATCAAAAATCCGTATTTAAAATAAGGTGGAAATGCAATTTCGAGTCGATTCCGAAAATTTCATGCAAAAATTTTGAAAACTGATTGAGTTGTTACAATTTTAATGAGATCAATTCCGCAAATATCGCGAACTGAGATATGGGCAATTTAGTTCATTTTTTGTGGTTTTTTCGCCTTAGTATCCACATTTAAACAGATATAAAGCTATAACTTACAGATAATATGTAGTTTAGGCTTACCTTTCATATAAAGTAAGTTTCATTCAAAAATATTGATATTTGACCAATTTATGGGCCGAAATCTACCAAATTTGGTGCGTATGCCCAAATATGGGCATATAGTTTTTGGCTCATAACTCAGTCATTTTTCGTCCAATCTTGATGAAATTTCATATACGAGTTCAGGAGACCACTAGCTACAAGTAGAGCACCATAAACCTTGGTTTTGGGCATGTTCAGGGTATTTGGCTAAATTGGGCCTAATTTGGACCAAATATGGGCGTGGCTGCCCTGCGTGCACCGTTTGGCGGTTGGGGTCCGGGACCCCCTCAAAAGTTCGGTCACTGGTCTTAGTTTGTTGGTCAACTACTATCTCGAAATCAAGTTTCACAAAAAAATATCCATTGGCCCCCCCCCCCTTAAGGACAGCTGCCTGCAAATCTTCAGATACTCACGAAACTTTGCACAGACCTTCCCAAAGGTATGAATAAACAATTTTCGGTTGGAGACATTTTTTTTACCGTGGGCAAAACCCAGGAGGGCCACGCCCATATTGACCCAATAACGTAACTGACCCCTTGCTTCTGAAGGTCGTAGAGACTTCAAAATAAGCTTAAACGAAGCCGCATATGCATGTTTATATAAGAGTTATTGATCAACACATGGCCTAAAATCCTTACTTTTCGAGAAATTCGCCAAAAACCATTTTGGGCGTGGCGCTGAGCCCATTTTACTAACTTTTGATAGGATTGTGATAGAGTCTTTGGATAGAGTGCAAAAGAACCGCAATTGGCATATTTATATATGACTTACGAAGAAACATATGCCTTAAAGTGCTTGCTTTTTCAGTTTGTAAGCATTTTAGGGTGCATGTTGCTTCATAAGTTGTATATAAACATGGCCATTCTGCACAATTTGCACTTATTCAAAAATCTCTAGGGCCTTCATAGCTCAATATACCACATACCCGTAGTTTTGCATGATTTCTGGAACCGAAAATCAGTTTTTCGCCAATAACTGAAAAAGCAAGCACTTTAAGGCATATGTTTCTTCGTAAGTCATATATAAATATGCCAATTGCGGTTCTTTTGCACTCTCTCCAAAGACTCTATCACAATCCTATCAAAAGTTAGTAAAATGGGCTCAGCGCCACGCCCAAAATGGTTTTTGGCGAATTTCTCGAAAAGTAAGGATTTTAGGCCATGTGTTGATCAATAACTCTTATATAAACATGCATATGCGGCTTCGTTTAAGCTTATTTTGAAGTCTCTACGACCTTCAGAAGCAAGGGGTCAGTTACGTTATTGGGTCAATATGGGCGTGGCCCTCCTGGGTTTTGCCCACGGTAAAAAAATGTCTCCAACCGAAAATTGTTTATTCATACCTTTGGGAAGGTCTGTGCAAAGTTTCGTGAGTATCTGAAAATTTGCAGATACACCTCCATAAATGTCCATAAATGACTGGACTATCACCTTTGTCATTATTCGTTCAGGTGAAAAGGCTTTTTAGTTGAACTGATTAATTAAAAAAAACATCACAGTCATTCGGCATTAAACTTGGTGACTCATTTCAGGAGACGGTAGCTGGATTAAACGTACCACGTGTTGCTAAAACAGTTGATAAACTGATCACTGATTGTGGTAGTATAGCCCCAGCTGAAGCTCCAATCGAGGATCTGAACTCCCGGTTAAAGCGATTAACGCAGATGGCAAAATGTGTGGCGTTCATTAAAGGCAGTCCACAGGTGCGTATAATTGGTAAGATTTTGTTTGTCGTTCGTTTCTAAAAACTTGAAATTTACTTACAGTTTACTAATTATTAATAACAGTTCAGGTGTTCTGATCCGAGTTAAAAGTTAAATATCGCCTTAAATTACATTAACCTAACATGACCTAAACCCGAACTCAAATTTAACAAAACCCCGAACTCAAGTTTGCGGATATATCCGTTTATTTAGTGTTACATAACCTGTAGTTCACTTTCCTGATATCTCAGGCACCTAGATGTAAGTTTACCAGAGCTCTTATGGAGCTGTTCTCCACGTTGGAGGTAGAGTTTTCCTACTTTGATATCCTTTCTGACAACGACGTTAGAGAGGGACTCAAAACGTTTGGGGAGTGGCCGACTTACCCGCAGGTACTGGACACACCTCGCACTCTATTGTACGCACGTCTACTGCGCTGTGGTTTCATTTTTATCAACAATCGAACTCAAATATAAAACTTGCTGAGATATTTGACATTACTAAGTCTCAGTCTCCCTTCTTAAAGGCGAATACCTGCTAATAGTAATACCTGCTCAGGTGTATAATACCTGTATAATACCTGCTCAGGTGTATAATACTTGTATAATACCTGTCTAATACCTGCTCAGGTGTGGTTAGACGGAGAGTTATGCGGAGGACTGGACATTATAAAGGAGATGCACGAAAACGGGGAGCTTGTCACGACGCTACCTGTCAAACAGTCTCTTAACACTAGACTCAAAAACCTCATCAGCTCTCACAAGGTAATTCTATATTTCCTACCACCGAAAACCTTTGATAGATATTTAATTATTAAGATGCAAATGCTATGTAACCTTTGAAAGAAATAATGAAAGGCTAAAAATCGGCATTTCTTCAGGTCATGCTGTTCATGAAAGGTGATCCTACAGAGCCGAGATGTGGTTTTAGTAAAACTACTGTTGGCATCCTGGCAGAGTATAATGTGGACTACAAAACATTCGATATTCTTACTGATAATGAGGTTGTTATACATATTTTATTGTACATATTTTATTATACATTTTTTTATTAAATACTTTTCAAATTTTACAGAGTACAGCAATAGATGAATATAAAATAGAATCGTTCAAAATATCGCCCCCATCTGTAAAATATGATGGGCACCCCAACACGGTAAACACATAGTGAACTATGTCCGCAGTAACTTGGACCCATTACATCCAATTAATCTAAATCCAAAAATGTATGAAAAACTATTTAATAACAAACAAATCCAGGGTGAATAACTGTGGATATAGAGTCAAAATTGGTATTTCAATACGTCAAATTCCAGATACATTAGATACAGGTCTGATTATATGGTCATTAATGTGTGAGAAGGTGTGCGGGTGAAGTGTGATATGACGTAGAAAGTATAGGAAGGTAGATAAAAAAATTAATAAAACAAAAATAATAATAATATGGGGGGCAAAGAGACTAGGCTAGACTGTTGTTTCACTATCCAATAAACATTTCCATAGATGCTTAGTGACCTCAGCTTTGAAAAGACTAGTAGACACAATCTGTCTTACCTGTAAAGGGAGTCCATTCCACAGTATATGGGTTCTGTAGAAAAATAATATGTTATAGCACTGCTTTGAAACAGTCTCAGATCAATACATATCCGCTAGAATATCTAAATCCTAAATATGTTAGTAAACCCTAATTCACTGTATCAGAGCATTACTACTAATAATCAGCTGATTTAATTGAGATTGTATTCCAGGTGCGGCAAGGTTTAAAGGAGTACTCGGAGTGGCCGACTTATCCTCAGTTATATGTGGACGGTGAACTTCTGGGGGGTTTGGACATTATCAGAGAAATGCACGAGTCAGGTGACCTCAGTGACTCTCTGAAGTGAAATATCTTGAGGGAAATATCTTGAGTGAAATATCTTGAGTGAAATATCTGAAGTTAAATAGTTTGGTGCTATGTGAACTCAAAGCTTGATTGTTCTTACGTTCTTATTATGATGGTCATGACTCATGATATGATCGAAATATTGAAATTGATTTTCTGAAAGTCTTACCCAAAGTTTTGTTTCGAAATATTTGCCGGAAAATGTCCAAATATATAATTGTCCAAATAATTTAATTTATTTACTTCTATGAAAGTTAGTTTAAATCCCTAGTTTTAATGTACTCAAATAATCTTTAAACTTTAAAGAACGCTTAATACAATACATTCGCTGAACAATACACGGTTAAATTAAAAGAGCCATACTTGAATGAAAAGAGTGACGCTTGAATGACACACTTCTTTAAAGGGTATGTCTTTTCATTCAAAGCGTGTTATAAATAACACTTTATTTACGCAACAATAGTTTCTCTATCTACTTCACAAACAAAAGCTAATAATTAAAGATAACGTTTATCATTATAGGATGAAATTAGAAGCACCAAAAGAAGAGCCCAAATTCACCTTGTTCTCCCCAGATACATCTCTTCCAACAGAGGAACGAACTCAGGTAGTTAGTGCGAACTAACGATCAGTTAATTGATCTAATTGTCAATTAGTTGGTTTTACTAATAACTATTTTATAATCATTTTCACTAAGTAATACCGGATTATGGCTACAAACCACGGTGGTTACAATAATTCAGATAACCTCCTGTTTCAGTTCAGAAGTCGGGCAAGTGATGTGTTCGGGTCGTTAAGCCGGGACACGGTGGCCCCCTCTGACCTCACCCCGGCCATGGCACCACCCCCTGCACCCCGCTCAACCTCAAGGTTTTTAGGGGTACACCATCAAAAAGTAATTGCGTTACTTGTTCTGTAGCGTTTGAGGAAATTTAGGAGATTTTTCATAAAATTTTAATCTGAAATTGCGATGCTACAGCAATGACTACTTTTAACCTGCTTTGAATTGCAATTTCCATTTGAACGGAAGTTCTAAATAGGCTTATTTTCCCTCTTAGATTATTGAATAATTTAAGTCTAAACACCTGCAGAAACGAAAGTGAAAAGGTGAACATAACCCCATCGATAGAGTTGTATAACAGCCTAACTAGTGATAAAGTAGAGAAGAAAAGAACCCCTGTTAAAGCTCCTGTCAGAGCCTTCGGTAAGTAATTCACAGCTTGGTTATTCCTTCTGTTAGAGCCTTCGGTAAGTTGTCCACAACTTGGTTATTCCTACTGTTAGAGCCTTCGGTAAGTTGTCCACAGCTTGGTTATTCCTTCTGTTAGAGCCTTCGGTAAGTTGTCCACAGCTTGGTTATTCCTACTGTTAGAGCCTTCGGTAAGTTGTTCACAGCTTGGTTATTCCTACTGTTAGAGCCTTCGGTAAGTTGTTCTCAGCTTGGTTATTCCTTCTGTTAGAGGCTTCGGTAAGTTGTTCACAACTTGGTTATTCCTTCTGTTAGAGCATTCGGTAAGTTGTTCACAGCTTGGTTATTCCTACTGTTAGAGCCTTCGGTAAGTTGTTCACAGCTTGGTTATTCCTTCTGTTAGAGCCTTCGGTAAGTTGTTCACAGCTTGGTTATTCCTTCTGTTAGAGCCTTCGGTAAGTTGTTCACAGCTTGGTTATTCCTACTGTTAGAGCCTTCGGTAAGTTGTTCACAGCTTGGTTATTCCTACTGTTAGAGCCTTCGGTAAGTTGTTCACAGCTTGGTTATTCCTTCTGTTAGAGCCTTCGCTAAGTTGGTCACAGCTTGGTTATTCCTACTGTTAGAGCCTTCGGTAAGTTGGTCACAGCTTGGTTATTCCTTCTGTTAGAGCCTTCGGTAAGTTGTCAACAACTTGGTAGTTCCTACTGTTAGAGCCTTCGGTAAGTTGTTCACAGCTTGGTTATTCCTTCTGTTAGAGCCTTCGGTAAGTTGTTCACAGCTTGGTTATTCCTTCTGTTAGAGCCTTCGGTAAGTTGTCCACAGATTGGTTGTTCCTACTGTTAGAGCCTTCGGTAAGTTGTTCACAGCTTGGTTATTCCTTCTGTTAGAGCCTTCGGTAAGTTGGTCATAGCTTGGTTATTCCTTCTGTTAGAGCCTTCGGTAAGTTGTTCACAGCTTGGTTATTCCTTCTGTTAGAGCCTTCGGTAAGTTGTTCACAGCTTGGTTATTCCTTCTGTTAGAGCCTTCGCTAAGTTGGTCATAGCTTGGTTATTCCTTCTGTTAGAGCCTTCGCTAAGTTGGTCATAGCTTGGTTATTCCTTCTGTTAGAGCCTTCGCTAAGTTGGTCACAGCTTGGTTATTCCTTCTGTTAGAGCCTTCGGTAAGTTGTTCACAGCTTGGTTATTCCTTCTGTTAGAGCCTTCGGTAAGTTGGTCATAGCTTGGTTATTCCTTCTGTTAGAGCCTTCGCTAAGTTGGTCACAGCTTGGTTATTCCTTCTGTTAGAGCCTTCGCTAAGTTGGTCATAGCTTGGTTATTCCTTCTGTTAGAGCCTTCGGTAAGTTGTTCACAGCTTGGTTATTCCTTCTGTTAGAGCCTTCGGTAAGTTGTTCACAGCTTGGTTATTCCTTCTGTTAGAGCCTTCGGTAAGTTGTTCACAGCTTGGTTATTCCTTCTGTTAGAGCCTTCGCTAAGTTGGTCACAGCTTGGTTATTCCTTCTGTTAGAGCCTTCGCTAAGTTGGTCATAGCTTGGTTATTCCTTCTGTTAGAGCCTTCGGTAAGTTGTTCACAGCTTGGTTATTCCTTCTGTTAGAGCCTTCGGTAAGTTGTTCACAGCTTGGTTATTCCTTCTGTTAGAGCCTTCGGTAAGTTGTTCACAGCTTGGTTATTCCTTCTGTTAGAGCCTTCGGTAAGTTGTTCACAGCTTGGTTATTCCTTCTGTTAGAGCCTTCGCTAAGTTGGTCACAGCTTGGTTATTCCTTCTGTTAGAGCCTTCGCTAAGTTGGTCATAGCTTGGTTATTCCTTCTGTTAGAGCCTTCGGTAAGTTGTTCACAGCTTGGTTATTCCTTCTGTTAGAGCCTTCGGTAAGTTGTTCACAGCTTGGTTATTCCTTCTGTTAGAGCCTTCGCTAAGTTGGTCACAACTTGGTTGTTCCTTCTGTTAGAGCCTTCGGTAAGTTGTTCACAGCTTGGTTATTCCTTCTGTTAGAGCCTTCGGTAAGTTGTTCACAGCTTGGTTATTCCTTCTGTTAGAGCCTTCGCTAAGTTGGTCATAGCTTGGTTATTCCTTCTGTTAGAGCCTTCGCTAAGTTGGTCATAGCTTGGTTATTCCTTCTGTTAGAGCCTTCGGTAAGTTGTTCACAGCTTGGTTATTCCTTCTGTTAGAGCCTTCGGTAAGTTGTTCACAGCTTGGTTATTCCTTCTGTTAGAGCCTTCGCTAAGTTGGTCACAACTTGGTTGTTCCTTCTGTTAGAGCCTTCGCCCTTCGGTAAGTTGTTCACAGCTTGGTTATTCCTTCTGTTAGAGGCTTCGGTAAGTTGTTCACAGCTTGGTTATTCCTTCTGTTAGAGCCTTCGGTAAGTTGTTCACAGCTTGGTTATTCCTACTGTTAGAGCCTTCGGTAAGTTGGTCACAGCTTGGTTATTCCTACTGTAAGAGCCTTCGGTAAGTTGTTCACAGCTTGGTTGTTCCTTCTGTTAGAGCCATCGTTCAGTTGGTCTACTATAAATGGAGATGATTTCGATATAGTTGAGTTGATAGCACAAATTTATCAGCAACAAGACGTGTTCATTGATTGAAGGTATAATATTATATACGTGATACATGTAAAGTACTTAATAAAGTCCATTCTAGTGTTACCGCATAAGTTCCTAACTCTCCCCTCCGCATAAGTTCCTAACTCTCACCTCCGCATCAGTTCCTAACTCTCCCTCCGCATAAGTTCCTAACTCTCTTCTCCGCATAAGTTCCTAACTCTCCCCCCCCCCCGCATAAGTTCCTAACTCTCCCCTCCGCATCAGTTCCTAACTCTCCCCTCCGCATAAGTTCCTAACTCTCCCCCCCCGCATAAGTTCCTAACTCTCCCCTCCGCATAAGTTCCTAACTCTCCCCTCCGCATGAGTTCCTAACTCTCCCCTCCGCATCAGTTCCTAACTCTCCCCTCCGCATAAGTTCCTAACTCTCCCCTCCGCATAAGTTCCTAACTCTCACCTCCGCATAAGTTCCTAACTCTCCCCCCCCCCGCACAAGTTCCTAACTCTCCCCTCCGCATAAGTTCCTAACTCTCCCCTCCGTATAAGTTCCTAACCCTCCCCTCCGTATAAGTTCCTAACTCTCCCCTCCGCATCAGTTCTTAACTCTCCCCTCCGTATAAGTTCCTAACTCTCCCCTCCGCATAAGTTCCTAACTCTCCCCTCCGTATAAGTTCCTAACTCTCCCCTCCGTATAAGTTCCTAACTCTTCCCTCCGCATAAGTTCCTAACTCTCCCCTCCGCATAAGTTCCTAACTCTCCCCTCCGCATAAGTTCCTAACTCTCCCCTCCGCATAAGTTCCTAACTCTTCCCTCCGCATAAGTTCCTAACTCTCCCCTCCGCATAAGTTCCTTACTCTCCCCTCCGCATAAGTTCCTTACTCTCCCCTCCGCATAAGTTCCTAACTCTCCCCTCCGCATAAGTTCCTAACTCTCCCTCCGCATAGGTTCCTAACTCTCCCTCCGCATAGGTTCCTAACTCTCCCTCCGCATAGGTTCCTAACTCTCCCCTCCGCATAGGTTCCTAACTCTCCCTCCGCATAGGTTCCTAACCCTCCCCTCTCCAGGATCGAACAAGAGATTCTTCAGAGCTCAGCACGAAATTACCCCACAAAAGTTTACAAAGTACACATTAGAAGACACAGATCTTACAGACGACAGGTAACTACTTTATAAGTCTGGTAACATTAGCCACGTGTGATGGGCCACTTCACAACCACATGTACAGTGTCATTTTATCTATGAAAAGGGAACACACTAGTTGGGCTTGAAATCTTCGTTAAACTACATCATGAGTTCATGTAAAACATTTGAGATAATCACTCTTTAAAGCAAAATGTCCTACCGGTAGGACATTTTCAAAATTTTTATTCCATCAACGTTTTCTCCGGATATACAGCTTCCAGTACCTTGTTGGTGACTTGTGTCACTCTCACCGACCTCACTTATTGGTCACTGAGTACCGTGTTACGGTATTGCCTAGCTAGGGTGTTAGTAAATTTAAAATCCTGACTTTTTAACCTCACCCTTACTATACTTTACTTATTTCAAAATAATGTATCAGTAATAACAGTATGGATGACGATCAAGAATTTTCCATTCCCACAGCTGTTGGCTGCTGACAACTAAATTCGCCAATTTAGCCGGTGCCCGGTAAGAATTGAATTATAAAATTTTGGGAAATGGTCACTTGTTAAACATACATAACTGTACTGCTGCCATAAAAAAATTAAATAAGGAATGTTCGAGAGGACACATTAGGTTGAAAGGACCATTCAAAATCACCACTAAATAATTAAATAGTGTTCAACACGTGTATCTTTAGCAACGTGTCCCAACTCTTTTTATGATGAAGCTGCTCGGTTTTCTGTTAGCCGTGATACCTTAGGGCCAACAAATTTGGGTCACAATAAATTTGGTTACAATAATTTTGGTTACCATAATTTTGGGCACAATTTGCAAATTTTTAGACTAAAACAATTTTAGTCGAATTTTTCGACTTTTCCATTTCATTTATTTGATTATTCCATTATTAAGCTAGTTTTTTTTTCTCAATTTAGCACATAAAGTTATACTTTATAGTGTACTAAGTACAGAAAACAGAACACATTGCATGTATCAGAAATGTACCATGGGCCCACGTGCACACCGCGCGCCAAACGCGACGGTCACGTGGACAAAATATTAACCTCTTGATCTTGTAACTTAAACCATACGCGCGTATTTTGGTAAGGAGGAATATTCTCGATCTGGGAACATTCCAACGGCGAGCCAACATTATATACATTAGTTACATATCATAGCATACAATTTCTTATTACACGCAGTAGGGACCTGTGTACAGTAAGCGATATTTAACTGTTTGTCATAAACATATGATTAAGAATGTAAGCTCAATAAAATTTACTTCATATATATGCTCTACTAAAATTTTGGTCTACTTCAAAATTTGTCGCCGAAAAATGTAGTCACATGAAATTTGGTTTACAAAAATGTTAGTCAAAAGTTTGACTAAATTTATGGTAGACTAAATTTGTCGTTCTTAAGGTAATTAAATTTAAATTGAGAAAGTATTATTTTTTATAGGGCCCGATGTAATTATAGGGCCCGATGTAATTGCTATGACCAGTTTACTGATCAACTGGTGTTTCGGTGTCCGTAATTTTGTTTACACTCGGTCACCTGTCAAGGCATGTAAGGTCATTCGGCGAAATTTCATTTGAAATAAAATGATGTATTTGTGTAACAATTTGAAAGTTTATTGATTAAAAAAAATGTAGTATTTTTTTTGATGCTTAATCTAATTTACCTAGAAAGCTTATCTGACATAAAAGTCAAAAGGAAAAAAAACCCGACAATATAATATAAAAGGTTTTTCATGAAAATTTTAAAGGGATCATGAAGTGTCCCCGACTTAAGCTTGAAAATGAAAGTCAAAACGGCATCATAGCAGTTGTACTTCTAGATATGTCTTTACTGTAAAATCTCAATCATGAGACTAATAAACAGCGAACTACTCCGTTATTTGGTAAAATCTCAAGTATAATATAAAATTAGGAGCACATTGATAAAATTGATTGCATAGAAACACGTTCTGCTTCGTTCGCGTTAAATTATTAGCATGCTAGTGTTCACAGTCTTATTTGATGCATTGTTGTTAGTTTCCTTCTGGAATCATGTTGTTAGGTGCCTTCTGGAACGTTGTTAAGTTCCTTTTGGGGTGTTAGGTTCCTTTTAAGATATTGTCAGGTAACTTATGCGATGTTAGGTTCCTTCTAAAGTTCTAAGATGTTATCAGGTGATGTTGTTAGGTTCCTTCTGCGATGTAAGGGTCCTTCTAAGATGTTGCCAGGTTCCTTCTGGGATGTTGTTAGGTTACTTCTGGGTTGTTGAAGGTTGGTAGGTTCCTTTTGGGATGTTAAGTTAGTAGTTACTTCTGGGATGTCGTTAAGTTCTTTCTGGGATACAAGATACATGTTGCTGATGCTCTGAAATATTTAAATGTAATTAATTACATGGACCGCATACTTCTAATCGTTGAGAATGATATTAATTTCGTGTGAAATCACCAATGGCTTTCATTAAAACATACCTTATCGGTAATATTTATCACGGACAAATTTTTCACAGACCAAATTTTTCATGGACTTAATTATTCACGCTCTTGACCGCCCGAAAATATCCAAAGAATTGGACAATTTTTATGATCTTTTAATAAGAATTTTACTCTTTTTTTGAACTATAGAATGTGATTGAGGAGTGATTGTCCTAGTATACTTATAAGCTAATTTAGTAATTGGCTATACCCTTATCTACGCATATGTAGGGACACAAAATTATTCATGCTAATGTCTTTAGCGTGAGAGTATTGTCCGTTATAATTATGACCGATAAGTTATATAACGGGATGTATCAAAGTTAATTAATTCACGAGTTCATGCAATTAATATCTTTATATCATTTAGTGATTAAAATTATACTTCCTCATTTACACTACGATCCAAAACTCACATTGATTAGACAGAAAGCTCCAAAGCTTATCTGCGAGATAAGGGGTTTCCGAGTGATCATGAGTTGATGTTCGCTCTTGAAGAGCAGCCCTGAGGTGTTAAAATAACGTCACTAACTTAGAACTTACAAATAAACCACACTAAGAACCTACAAAATAACATTTTTCAAGTATAGCTGCCATTAAAGTAGTTATTTTATTAAGCAATTGTTATTATCTTACTTCATAACTTTAAAGTCGTGTTGGCGTTGGTTTGAGTTTTTAATCGCTATAAAACTATTTGCTGACTGTCATTCACCAATCGCTAAAATAATTAGTTCAATTACTTATAAAATTGGTCGTTAACAAATTTGATTACAAAACACTTTTATAAATGCTATAAATAGCATTTTAAAATTTTATTGGTGGTCTGTTGTTAAAAATATGTATGTTCATTTGTAAAGTTCAAACTTAAATTTAAACCTTGCGGATACTCGGTAGGCCTAGGCTATATACTAGGACTGTTTTCCTTGCCGACCTTGTTGCTCTGAAATCAAACAATTGAACAACTCATTAACATGAAAAATTAAAAGTTTATCAGAGACCTTTACCATATTTGGGGTTATTATTTGTGTAATATATGTCAAATACATGATAAAACGTCATCTCAGTCAAGTTTGGTTCACCTTCAGAGACTCTTAAACTCACCTTTTTTAATGCGTTTATTTCCATTTACAGGCAGGAGGCCGGATGTGGAGGCTAACTGCATGGAATACATGGCATTGGGGTGGTAGTGTACCATGGTGTGGATTGTTTATGTCCTACTACTCAAAGTTGTAACCAAGTGTTTTGTAACGTAAATTGTGAGCAGCATTATTTAAAGACACGAAATTAATTTCATTGATGTGAGACACACATTTAGATGTTAAATGAGTGGTTCTACTGTTCTATGATATGGTACCAACAGTTTAAGGTCGGATCTTAAATGTTCATGTTCGGTGCTTGAAGGATTAAAATTACAGGAAAGTTTAAATGTATTAGGGCTAGGCTGATCATACAGTGCTCCGTGCATTTAGATCCTTCCCCCTCCTCTCCCTCCCCTCCCTACGGCTACTAGTCAACTCTACAATCTTTGTTCCTGTGTCCTCAGGAACCTTCCTGGGGATTAGAAATTATTAACGATTGATTTTTTTTCCAATTCTGTCAGTTACCACCACACCTTTATACTTTTTACCATTCAGTAAGAATAAATAACGTATTGAAAGTATATTTAAGTTAAATATCAAAATATAAGTCAGCACTCCCTGTACATTCTAATCTATACTGTCATTGATTAAACTTTGTTACGCGGTTGAGTTGAGTCGAGAGTATTTCATTTTGAAGCTGAAAGCAAAGGTTTTAAAATCGACATGGATGTAGCTTCAGTTAAAGCCATAGTATTTCGACACCCCATTATGCCAATGACTAGATAACAGTGTTTGAGGATAGTTTACTAGAAATAATAATATTTTCCATCAATTTTATGAACTGTAATAAAAATGTAATATAACCTTGACGGAACTAATTCATGGCGACAGATTGAGTAGGATCATCCTTTGTGAACGGTCCTCTGCTCTTTTTATACCTCGTTGCTCTGAAATTAGAACTTTATTCATTAATATAATTTGCCTACAGTATTATCAGCAGTAAAACGATTTTAATCGAGCATGAGGTTTTAGGAGATCAAATTTATAATTGACGATGATTTCACTAATTGAGAACAAAAAAGAAACATAAGTATATTATATATATAATATATTAATATAGCTTATGTTGAATGGTTCATCGTTCATCACGTCGCTTTCTCGTGTAACAAGAATTTCGCCGCGGTGAACCACGCACGATCAATTTTCCCTACGATGTACTTGTACAATTAATTCTTTTGAGTGAAATGTGTGACTGGAAAAAAGTGCATCATATTTACATACTATGTTTTTTATAAATGAGTGTGATTCGTGCATGGTATAAATTGACGATTTATTTGACCAATGCAGCGCCGCGCATCAACAATAAATAAATCCAGAAAATTGCGGAAAATAACTTTGCGAAGGAGGAATTTCACTGTAATTAATTAACACATGGCTAGCGTCGCGCGCAGCATAACAGACGCTTCCTATACACTTAATTATAGGGG